CAATAAAGCAATATTTTCCCACCACATGCAAAAAAAAAAAAAAAAAAAATGCAGCCAAGGAGCTCAGTGCTCCCCGTCCCCCCACCCCTGCCTGGGCAAGCCGCCCCATGTGGGGGCCCACAAAACTTGAGGCACTACTTGACTTTCTCTACGGCAATATCTCTCCCGTGGCCTCTGCACAGCCACACCATTGTTTTTTTTATTATTATTAGCCATTTTAAAAATGAGGAATAAAAGGATATTTAATGAGCCACCCTGGCAGGCATCCGTGTGTTTTGTTTAGCGTCCAGGGACAGAGGAGCCCCTGAAGGGCTCTGGTCCTTCAGGGTCTTGGCCTTCCCTCACTCCTCTCAAGGGGGAGAGCAAAGGGGGCCCAAGCAGAGCTGAGCTTGGCCCCATTTCAGGGAGGAATCTCCTCAGGGTGCTTTTGGGCAAACTCTGCTCCTAAAGAAGGTACTTTTTTTTTTTTTTCCAGGGTGTGAGGAAAGCGGTTCTGGGGAAGGTGTCGCAGGGGCTGGTGAGGCTCAGGATCCTGTGCAAGGTGCTGGGACCAAAGGAGGACCTTGGCATTGTGCCGTGACTGCTGCTGGAGCTCCTGGGGCCTGCGACAGCAGCCCTGGGCACTCTGCCAGCAGCCACCTCTGTGCAGGGACACAGTGCCTCTCCAGGGTCACTCCCGTCCTCGCCAGGCCTGGGAGGTGCAGGGCAGAGGAGCGCAGAGCCCCTCAACCCAGCCCAGCAGCCAAAGCCAAGGTAGGAGCCAAGGTAGGAGCCCACCTCAACCCTGCTTGGGGTGGGAGCTTGGCCACGATCCTCCATCCTAGGCCACAGCGTGTCGGGACAGTGCTGATCCCACACGCCCCACCAGACTGCCCCAGTCTTGGCTCCTCACGTCGCCGTGACAGCCGAGGGTTGTAGCAGCCACTGCCACCAGCCCCTCCTCAGAGCAGAGATTTTAATTAAAAGGTGACTAAAAAAAGAGAGACCCCCGATGCACCAGGTTGTTTTGGTAAAAAAGGCCAAGGTCGGCAACCCCAGTGCCAGCAGAGTCCGTGTCCCCTGGTCCTGGCTGGCTGCACAACGCAAGTGGGGGGCTGCAGGGGTGTCCTCTCTGCCAGAGGTGGGGGTGGGGGGGAACAGGCCAGCTCGAGTCCCCCTGCTGAGCGCTGCGGGAGGAACGAGTCCCTCCCAGGTCAGTCAGGGCCGTTCCGGTCGGCTGGGGGATCCCCGGGGCGGCGCCGGCGTGGCCTCACCGCAAGCTGCTGCTGCTGCTGGCCTGGGAGCTGCCCACCCCCGGGTGCTCCGGGCTGTGCCGGTTCTGCGGAGGAAGGACAAGACATGTATCCCTTGAGACCTCCTGCTCGACAGCAGCACCCCTGGGGACAGCCGCTCACTGGCTCTGGGCGCTGCTGCTGCCCGGGCCAAGCTCGCTGCTTGACAGCCCCTGGGGTGGGCACGGGCTGGGAGTCAGACCCCGGCTTTCCCCACCCACCTTCTTTTTCTTCTTCTCTTTCTTTTTCCTCTTCCGTTCTGGATCCTCCTCTTTTTTCTTCTTTTTCTTCTTGTGGTCGGAGTCCGAGGGGGTTTCTGGAGACACGAGAGCGTCAGGTGAGCTGGGCATCCCCCAGGGCGGGACAGAAGAGGGGGCGGCTGTGGCAGCGTGGCGCAGCCCCTTACCTGGGGGGACAGGATCCTGGGTGCGGCTCTGCTTGTGCTTGTGCTTGTTCTTCTTCTTGGGCGGCTGGATGTGCATCAGCCGGCACTGCTCGGGCAGCTGGGGAGGGGAGACAGGGCTGGTCAGGCCGGGCCAGGCACCCCCAGCCCCACCACCTCCAGCCCCAGCCGTCTGCCCCCCAGCTCTCAGCCCCCGGGGCTCACCGGGCCAGCATGGAGGCGGAAGCCCGTCAGCATGGTGCCGGTGAGGGGGGTGAAGGAGCTGCCACAGATGGGGGGCTTCTCGATGAGGGAGCGCAGGCTGCTGTTGTCGTGGGAGCCAGGCAGGTCGATCATGCCGGGCAGGTCGGGGAGGAAGTTGCTGAGCTTCTCCTTCACCTTCTTGCCGCAGAACTTGTTGTAGGCGTGCTCCAGGTTGTAGTGCGTGATCAGGTTGGTGCTGCCCGTCAGCTCCGTGGTGCCTGCGCCAGCCGCCCGCCGCGGGGAGGGGATGGGGTGCTGCTGCCGCCCAGCCGGGCCTCCCGCCCCGCTCGCCTTCCC